TTTATATCAAATCCTGGGTCGCGGAACATTAACCGACTATTCCTATAGGCATGATAAATAATCACCATAAATGCTTTAAACTAATTCTTGTTGCTGTCATTGTGGCATAAGCAGTTTTCTAGCGCCATATTTTATCTGCCTAATTTTCACTGTGATCTTCCTTGTGATCTGATATGAAGACTGGTATAGCCTATGTATTGATTACACCTGCAAGTCAGTACAAAAAGAAGCTTGTGCCTCTGTTCAAATGTGTCATGAAAGCAACAGGTAGTCTTTAAAATGATGGTGAAAAATCAATAGTATGTCCCACGTCTGCCTGGTTAATGTCGCAGGACATAATGTATGTGTGTGGTTGTGTTCTAGTCACTTTGCGTTCTTGGCTCCCCTGCTTGTAAAAACGTTCTTCTTCTCGCCATGAACTGTTACTTCTCAGGTTAATCTCGCTTCAGCCTTTGTTACTCTCTTAAGAATGAGGTTCTTGTTCCAGCCCAGCAGATTGTTGGTTCAAAATAGGAACCAGTTTTCGGGGCCAAGAGCCGGCGCGCTGTATAGAGATTTGCGATCGGCCCCGGTTCCAGCCTTCAAACCGCTTTGCTGTAATAGAGATAAAAGTGAGAGAGCAGATTGAAAATAACACGGTGCATTCCCTGCTGCAGGTTCATGCCTCCAGATGATCCGCTGGGGAGAAACGGCCCCAGCATCGATGACTTCCTGTTGAAGAAGCCGTGGAGCCCAGACCACAAACTGCAGCCCTGTCCTTACGGTCAGTTCACTCCTCAGCTTCACAACAACAGACCCAACACTGCTCAGCTTACACCCTCCTTCTCTCATGGGGATTACAACTGCACAACAGCGGCAGCTCGCTGCAAAGATTGTACGGCTTCATTTGTCTGCAGCCATGCTAACATCAGCATGCTGGATGATGGAGAGGCATGTTTTTTAAGAGGGATGATGGTCATAAAGTAAACCATTCATATTAAACAAAAACATATGAAAAGTCAGGATCACAAAAGTGATAAGGACACATCTTCTGATAAAAAAGTGTGTGTCAATCCAGGTTATTATTCATGGGACAAATGAATACTGCTACTTGAGACACGAGAATGGAGTTTAGAGAGGGTGTGTACGACAGGACTGGTTCAAACAGCCTGCTAACCTGCATCTACACTGACAACAAACACAAACCAGAACCCTTCCAAAATCAGCACATTTTGCTTAATGCAAACTAAATAGTAGAAGACAGACAGCAAATGTAGCAAAGATTCAAGTAGACAACTGGATCATAAATCCAAGGCGAGTTCAGGACTTTGTAATGCTCTTAATTCGGAGTGGAGACTGATTCTGGTCTCCAGAGCCACAGCCTGCCGACAGTGTCTGCTGGCTGAGAGGAAGCTGGGTCACACTCCATGTGTCTGTGAAGCGTGTGTGTTTCCAGCACACACACACATGCAGTGTTCTTCAGGTCTACAGCTGTGGAGCTCATAACTAACTTATTTTCCTTCTTTCAGGAAAGAAGTGTACTTATGGAGTCAAGTGCAAGTTCTATCACCCGGAGCGGGCCCACCAGTCCCAGCTGTCTGTGGCCGACGAGCTGAGGGACCGAGCCAAGAACACACACTGCAGATACAGCTCCCCCAACCCCCCTCTCAGCACAGACGACCTGTCCCTCAGGGCTTCACCCAGCGAGCTCTTGGTCTTCCACAGAGACACCAGCAGCCCCTGCAGCCCCCCCAGCCCTTGCCTCCGCCTCTGCCCCAGCCCTGAGGAGGACGAGGCCTTCAGCTCCATGGATAGCTCCATGTCCAGGCTCTACATCCAGGACAGTGTGGAGCGCCCCCCCCCACAGCTACAGCAGCGGAGTGGCCAGCTACAGCCACGACGACTGCTCACTCTCAGGCTCCTTCGGCGATTTCTACCCCCATCACCACTCATCAGTGCCCTGCCTGCGCCCTGTGTGCAGCTGTGCTCATCCTCAGACTAGATCGTACCCCCACCACCACCACCCCCCAGCATGGGGCTCCTGCCCAGCTCTGCTTCCACATAACAGGGAGCCTCCTGTACACAGTGCAGAGCAGCAGTACAGACGGGGCCCCGCTCCACAGAGGGGGGCCTGGCTGCAGGGCGGAGCCAGGAGCCCGGCCGCAGAGCAGAGGGGGGGCCTGCGCAGCCAGCTGAGCACCCTGTTCCCTCAGGGCGCGGTGGAGCAGGTCATGAGCACCCACCCTCACATCTCAGACGTGACCCAGCTGATCTCTCTCATCCAGAGCTACAGGAGCAGCCACGTCTCCTTCTAGATTACAAACCGTCTCACAACCCTCAGGCACAGAGAAACCTGGAGAAAGGGAACAAGGCTTCTTCTCTTAAAGGTCACCTATCATGCTATTTTTAGGCAATAGCATAGGTCTCAGATATATACAAATATATAAAAAACATGTCTATGAAGTGTTTTGCTCAAAATACCAAACAGATCACCCATTCTAGCCATGCCTCATATCCCTCTGTTTCACTTCCTGTTTCAAAAGTGCTGATTTGGGGAATAAAGCTTTAAAAAAAAAAGCTGAGCTCATGCGGGACCCGGCAGCTACTGTCTAAACTAAATACTGCGGTGATGAAACACCATATCATGGATTATCAAGGATTATTTCTGAAACAGTATGGAGCTCAAAGGCTTTCTCTCTTGCCGGTTATACCACAAGGTGAGTTCCTTTTTATTTCCAGCTTCTTCACACACATGCTCTCCAGTACAGGTTAGCTCTGAGTGTTAGCGATGCTAATGTAAACACCGACCATATTACGTCCAAAACAGTCGGGCATTGTTTCTGATAGCAACTTTCTGATAGGGCCGTGGGTCCACATTTCAGATATTACGTCATATCGGACGCAAATCTGGATCAGCTCCGTTGTACCTCAGTTTTTAGAGATTTGGGTACGGAGGAAAAGAGAGAGGGTTTTATTTTCTGATGCTGCGTGAGTTCCCTGACGCACCGGGGACACATGTTGATGTAGAAAAGACATCAAAAAGTGCATTTTGCATGATAGGTCCCCTTTAATATACTTCATACCATGTCTCTGTGCTAGAACACATTCACAACTCACCCTGTATTTCAAGCATTAAAACATGAACATGTAGCAGACTGAACGCTCTTTCTTTAGTGTAAAAGTGCAATGCACACACTCAATTCATGTTACTTATTGTAGCAGTAAAAACATTTTAATAAAGCAGCATGTGTTGTTTTCTTATGTTGCCTCAAAATGAGGAACTCTGTTATACTAATGTGTACTTTTTGAATATTGTGAAATAAAAGAACGCTGAATATTTGTCATTGGTTCACATATTACCCAGTCCTTGTAGGTGCGTGAGATACGTAAATAAAGAACATGTGTGAAATAAGATTGAATAGAGCTGCTGCTGCACTAGTCTGCAGCTCCACCCGTGTGACAGATTAAGATGAAATGAAAGCTCCAGGTATCTGGCCATGTAAAGGATAAGACAGAAGCACAGGTAGAGCCCAGTCATACCATAATATTCACATAAATACAACAACTTTCTGAAGTATGCAAGCATTAGAAGCTCTGAAGGTCAGCTGCTACTGGACCAGGTCAGACTGAAGCAGCCTGCTGCAAATCCTCCACCATCAACCCTGTCCCAAAGAAACCAAGGATCAAAGGTCTTACTGACTACAGCACCCCCCCCCATAACCTCTGGTTATGAGGTCTTTTAAGGACGACCCCCCTCCTGGACCCCTTGCATTTCGCCTTCAGGGCCAACAGGTCTGAAGCCAATGCAGTCACCATGGACCCCCCGGTCCTCCTGCAGCACCGGGACCCAGCAGGACCTAGGCCAGGACCCGGTCTCTGCTACAGGACGAGCTCTCCCAGCTGCATGTGGATCACAGACTTCCTGTCTGACAGGAGCAGCTCAGACTCCACCTGCAGGGTCTCAGTGTCGGAACTAACAGGACCTGCTTTGGTGACAATGGTATATTCCCATGAATGTCCCAATCTCAAAGTAGATTGATCTCCTTTTCTTTTGTAAAGAACGGTCTGGTGGTCTGGTTCAGGTACTTCAGGGTCATTTCACTCCGTTAGGAGCCTTCCTCTGAAAAAAAGAGCTGTTATTTGTTATGGTTGTTTCCTGCAGGCTTTATAAACCTGGACTAACTTTGTTACCTCTGTTGGAATAGAAATGTAAAAAAGGAAGTGAAAGGAAATGGTTGATCGTGGCCCAAAACAATAACGGCTTTTTTTTCCTTCTTACCTAGTGGACAATATTTTGTAACGGTGATAATGTCACATTGACACTAAAAACATTTTAATATTTCGTAACCTAAAATCATTCAGCATTTATAGCTATATCTCTCGGAAAGAGAGCAAAGCAGTTTTATTTGAATGGTAACACGTTGAGGACATTAGCTCAGCAGAAACACACTCAGGCGCCTGATGAGTCAGTGATGTAAACGCTAGTGAAGGGACAGTGCTGTTATGCAGGTTGTTTGCCGTTTAGTTTGTTTTGGGATTTATGGCAGAACATACTGGGGTTTTCAATACCCAAGAAATGCACCATTTTGAAGCTTGGAAAAATAAATGATTGTGTGATTGATAATGATATACATATCTAAGATGCTGTTATTAATACGCAAGAAATAAATAACAACAAACTGGTGTAAGGAGCCATTATTAAAGTGCAGTGGATGGATATTATAAGAGGTCTATATAATGGAAAAAATGACTTAAGACAACTTAAGAGTGAGAGAAATTGTTTTTACCTTTGTTCTAAGCTAAAAGAAGCCACAAATAAACATGTGAAATGTTTTTTGTTGAATGTACAAACAACTCAATACAAATAAAGTCAAAAGAAATAAAGAGTGGGGTGACCCAGCATTCACAAGCTGAGGCTGACGCTGAGAGGAAGCCCGTTTGATTCCAGCAGCTCCTGGAACCCATGCCGCCATCTACTGGATAAAAGCAACATCTGTATCACAAACACACACCAAAACAACTCAGAATAGATTTTTTTAATTATTTTTTACAAATAACTTATCTGTTACAAAGACAGTTTTCCCAGCTAAAATCAAAAAAACACTTTAGATATCCAAATAACTTTTTGTCAATTTAATAAAACATGAATAAACTGCCTCTTCACACCAAGGTGCAGATGAAGATGGAAACTGGTTTCTTTGAAGAAAAGTATGGCGTAAGTGCTTAAGAGACAAGAATTCATCTACTTTTAAATGGGTTTCAACAACTAACATTTTGCTTTGATAAATGGCACTCGGATGTGACAGAATAGATGATCAATACAAATTCAATAGTTCAAAAGGCACTGATGCAAGGCAACATTTCACAAGTGTGGAAAAAACAAAACTAAGTAACTACTCCACAGTTAAGGTAAGTTAATGACAATAAGTAAACTTTAGAGACACCCTCATCAATAAAAGCTTAGGAGGATGAAATGAGCCAAATAAAAATAAGAGTATACAAACTGGACAGTTGTGTTGTGACCTGCTGTATATGAGTATTTTTTACATCATAGGAATACTTTGATCTTCGTAACCTCACAGGACTCCATCAGCTGCAGAGCAACATGCCACTATGAACCAAATCAGCTGTTTCAGAGCTGCAGTCACTTCCTGATGGGACTGGAGGATGAGTGTCTCTTTGCACTGAGGTGAAGCTGTCCCCAAAACATCAAACCTACATTCCAGTTGTCAGATAAGATGGCAGTGTTTCATTTTGCTTTTTGACCCCTCCCCTCCCCCGACAGTCCTGAAATATTTGGCGTCCTGAAAAAAAGAAAAAGAAGCCCTCCATAGCCTTCTTCTTTGCTGCTGTGCGGTGGTACACAGGAAGCTGGGCGTCACACGAGCGCTGAGCAGACGCAGCTTCATGATGACTGCAGGGGTCTTACTCTGTTCCTCTCCTTCTGCAAGGCTTCATGATGACTGCAGGGGTCTTACTCTGTTCCTCTCCTTCTGCAAGGCTTCATGATGACTGCAGGGGTCTTACTCTGTTCCTCTCCTTCTGCAAGGCTTCAACTCTCACAGAAATCAAGTCAAACACTTAGAAAGGGAGCATGGTGCTTATTTGTTTGGAAGAGGGAAACGAAACAAGACAAAAACATTAATAAAGTCTATAAAGCTATACTTACAGGAAATATAAGTCATAGTGTGAGGAGGGAGGCTTTCAAGGCACATTCTAAAAGTATGTACAGTTAAAAGCTCAAGGGGAGTTTCTGCCTCCATGTACTGTACACAAGCATGCAACTTTCTTTCTTTTGATTAACTCGTGACCCAAGGCACAGAAGAGGGAGGACAAGAGGCACATGAGAGTGGCAGTTAGCAACACCCCCCTTTGACATCCTCTACAGACAGCAAACACACTTTAAAGTCCTCGATCAGTCCGTCAGGATTCCCTTCAGATGGAGAGCAGTGGCTGAACAGGCCACCACAGAGCAAGAAGAACCCAATGTAATCAACAAAAGGCACATAGGTACCTATGTGTGGTGTGTGTGTGTGGGGGGGTGTGTGTGTGGGGGGGTATGGGTGGGTGGGTGTGTGTGTGTGTGTGTGTGTGTGTGTGTGTGTGTGTGTGTGTGTGTGTGTGTGTGTGTGTGTGTGGTCACACTGCTGGGCCACACTTGTAATACTGTAAGTGGGAGCAGCGAGGTATCCCAGGATAAAGTTTCCCCCGCCCCCCCCCCTCTGAGTCTCTCAGCTGAGGTCTGGTCCTCCTCTGTGAACACCATCCTGTCAGGCCTTCAGTGGGAGCATTGCAAAAAAGGGGAACAGGACGCATGATGAGCGAGCCCCGTACCAGTTCATACGATGAAGAAACCGAAGAAGAACAAAGACCTTCTCTCTGGTGTTATGGTGCAGACAGGATGGCAGAGGAGGGGGCCTTGTAGGCTCAGAAGTGCCGCGGGAACTCGCACTGTTCACAGCGGTTGAGGGCGGGGTGGTTGAGGAAGGTGCAGGCGGTGCAGCTCCACTGCGTCCCCTCGTCCTCCTCCTGCTCTGCCAGGGGCTTCACTGCCTTGGTGCCCACGTCTGTGAAGAGGAGGACAAGTCAGACGCTGTCCACCAACCGACCCAAACATGGACATCCAGATCATTGACATTTGAAGCTGTGATAATAGTCTAGTTGCCAGCATAGTGAACCAGTACCCCAAAGTGTTATGGTAGAAATGTATAGTAGGGTACCCAGCACATAGAAACTGCCGGATGCTAACCTGCATATGTTGGCCAATTTGTACAATTAACATAAGTTGCGTTAATGAACATGAATGAATGACCATCTATAATGCTCATTCATGCTAATTAACACAACTTGTGGCGTTCCAAATGGAATACAGCAGGGCGGCAGTGAGATGATAGACAGAAGGGCTTTTTGGATATTTCTGAAATAGAAATAAGTTTATTTTTCCATCTTTAGTCTTTGCCTCTCTATTGTGAAATACTGGTGAGTGTTACCTTGTCATGGCTCTAAAAGTATTTAACTCAATCATTTCCAAACTCAAACACCTCTGAGCTAGTTAGATTCTTTTAGAATCTTATAATACTACAAAGCATGGTTTGATCAATTCCTTAAATGAGGTGAAAAGCAAGAGGTCATCAAAGACCAAGTAAAGTGTTCAAAATGAAGGGAGGAGGAGAAATGAAAGGTCTGACAGAGAGGAAGGAGCAGACAGGGGGCTCAATGAACGAGAGGCAGGCAGAGGGAGGGGTGGGAACTCATTTTGGAGCAGAAGAGATGATTTGTTTACACATGTCAGCAGAGTTGGGTGTAACGCGTTACAAAGTAACGCGTTACTGTAATAATATTACTTTTGTCGGTAACGGAGTAGTGTAACGCGTTACTTTTATAATTCAGTAATCACACTACAGTTACTAACATTGCCCCGACACGCGTTACTTCGTTACTTTTATAAAATCAGTCATAATCACACTGACAGACAAGAGGGGTTTCCGCCGCAGGTTTATATGTACGTAATCTGCGCGACTTGCGCGTCCACATCTCCACGTGCAGTGCTGCATAAACATGGCTGAGTCAGCGATAACTTTCGAGGGGTGGAGGTATGCCCATTATTTTGAGTTCGTCCGAAGAATAGACAGGAATGTGACGGTGAGGTGCAAACTGTGTCCAGGCCAGAAGCTGTTATACACTGCTGCAAACACCACGTCAAACCTCAACAAACACCTGCAAAGAACACATGCTAAGGTGAAGCTAATAGCTAAGGACCGGACCCCCGAACCCAGAGTGAGGATGTTGTGAGTCGCCGCCGCAAGAATTTGGAGGACCGGTAACCAAAGCAGAGATGGACAGGCTTGTAGCATCCTTCATAGTAGAGGTAATGTTGCCCATTTGCACAGTGGAATCACCATCGCATCGTTCAGAGATATACTGCGCAAAATACAGATAGCAGGAGACAGAGGACAGCCATGGTCAGAGCTATCTGGATCAGTCTTATGCGACAATGGAAAATGAACTAAAGAGAACATTTGAAACTTTAGCAGTCTGCGTGATCTGCCTGTAGGGAGGGGCGGGCCGGCCCTGAGAGTAAAGTCACGAGTAAAGTAACGAGTTACTTTATGTAGAGAGTAACGAAGTAGTGTAATATATTACTTTTTTTTTTAAAGTAATATGTAATATATTACTTTTTTTTAGTAACGCCCCCATCTCTGCATGTCAGTCAGCAGGTACAGTATGATAGGCAGCATGCAATGAATGAATCAATGAATGGGGGATATTACAAGAAGACCACCTCATGCATGGATGGACCTAAACCAGGGGTCGGCAACCCGCAGCTCTTTAAGCCCTCTACTCTGGCTCCCTTGAGTTTAGACAAAAATAAGAAGGAAATAAAATAAAAATATTTGTAGGACTATTTGCACGGTTGAAAATGTTTCGTATCTTGTATTTTGAGGTGATACTGTGACACATACAACATTTAAAAAAACGCTTTTAATTAGGTCAACTAAAAGATGCGTCACATCCTGCTACGGTCCCGTACCACTGGCACCAGCGCCTTTTCTTGCAGGCGAATAACCTGACCCCCGGCTCGATGAGCGAACTATGGATACATCAAAGAAACAAAAAGTATCTGAGGAACACAGAGGGTTTCATTCTGCGTGGTTAGAGTTATCTGCTTTCACAGCAACCGATGCTGGCTTACCGGTATGTTTGATATGTGGAGAGAAGTTATCAAAGGTGCTGCAGCCTTTACGTATTGGAGGAGAAACACGGAAGAGGAAGACAGCTGACGATCTTCATCATAATTCAATCAGTTAACTCTTTTTAGGGTGCAGCTATATGTTTTATTTATTTCAAAGTGGGCCCATTTGAATTATATTCATTTCTTCAAATGTGCAGAGGACTCCCCAAGTGCTGTGTTGATTTATTTTAAAGTAGGCCTTTGCATTTTTTATTCTCTTTATAAGAGTTCTTTTATTATTAGAGGTAAATAGTTTTCTATAATGTAATAAATAATAAATGCAAAAAAACTGTAGTTTTTGTCTATGATGTAACAATATATACAACTTTACAAGCTATCAAATATGTTTTGCGGCTCCAGACAAAAGAAATTGGTGGAAAAGGGTGCAAAATGGCTCTTTTGGTCAAAAAGGTTGCAGACCCCTGACCTAAACACACACATTTCCATACAGTACATGACATGCAGCTTTTTCTCAACTTACCAAGAGATAAAGTACCTTTGGGTTTGGGTGGGACAGGACCGAGGAATCCAATGTTGTCATAAAAATTATGGATTGCACTGGGATTAAAGTGTGGTCCTGTCAACAGATGGAAACAGTGCATTGGCATTTTTCATTGAGCTATGAAGTCAGCCAACTGTGTTGAGCTCCATGTTTTTTTATTCAACATGTCACTGGGCCGTCCCACAACAGGGAACTCAGTGAGTACTATTCATTCATGAGGCCTGTGGGGTCAGTTTCTATCAGCAGTGGAGTACTGCCAGGGGGCCATAAATCCCTTACCAACCAGCAACAGGATGCAATTGAGGAAGAGCTGGTAGTTAGCGGCAGAGTGTGTGTGCAGAGAGGATGTGAGCAGCTGCACAGCTGGACCCGGTCTGACCTCCCTACCTACGCTTCACTTTATTACTCTGAATGCTAGTTTACAACCAGTGATAAGGACACATCAGAGAGAGACTCACCTCTTGTTTGAAGGAGATCAATTTCTTTGGTGAGGCAGTCAATGTCGATCTGCAGGGACCTGTTTTTGCATCTCAACTGCTTCATTTCCTCAATCTGAAACGGGGAGAGATGGGGGGGGTCAGCAGGTCAGCCATCACACGCAGGCGGGAGACAACTCAAGCCCTCAAAACTCACCTTTTCACTCTTGCCTTCAACTGCTAATCTTTTAACCTCTAGCCCCTATTCCACCTGGCTTATCACTTTATTTTATTTGTTGATATTTTCTCTACTGGCTTGTAAAGCGTCTTTGAGCACCAGTAGAAGCGCTATATAAATACCATGTATTATTATTATTATTAACTCTGAACAAAGGAACGACTCAGCTCAGCTACAGCAGCCACTTTCCCTCTGTGGATGCAAACTGTTAAAGTTTCAAGTGAGTCAGCTGACTCAGCAGAAAGCCCGGATCACGAGAGCTCTCTACAAACTCTCAGCCCTCAGTGTGAGACATGGCCACCTCAGACTTCTTTCTTCTGTTGAACTGTCCCTGTTTCAGCTGAAGGAACAACTGTGAAGTGAATCTAATAAACTGTACGCTTTGTCAGTCTGAAAATATGGAAGTATATCAGAATGATAAATTGGCCCCGTGATGTTCACAGGAGCATCCATGTGCAGGAAGCCAGAACATGTAATGTGGTCCAGATCTGGTTTCTTCTCTTGAGGCTTTATCTGTCACTAATAATCAGCAGTTATGAAGAACATCACAAAAAACTGCTAATAACAATCATTTGGAGCTTGTTTTTAAAATTGAGCTGCAAATGAAAAATGAAACATTTGAATTGGCCATCGGGGCATCCGTGAGTGTATTGGTTAAGATTCATTCTGTCCATCAATTAGAGCAAAAAGGTGGTAATGGCGCTGACGAGAGATAAGGTGTTTCTTGCTTACAGAAGGGATTGTGGAGGCGGAGCTGGATCTCTCCAGCCGTCTCCTGGTCAGGTCGCTCTCCATCTCGTTCACCTCCTCTTTTAGCTTCTCCAGTTTCTTCTTCTTCAGCTCCAGCTCGTGCCACAGCCTCTCCATTCGTGCCTTCTGATGGACCAACAGCGCTGGAGAACACACACACATGCAAACACACAGTCGGTACTGCAGCAACCATTTACCAGTGAACAACCACTCAAAGATGTCAACATCATTTAGCATGATGTTTAATTCAATGAGGAACATTTAGTCACATCTACACATTTTTATTTATAAAACTGTCCAATCTGGTTATATTTTCTTAACGTTATTCATATCATTTATAAAATCGCAACATTGTCTATAGTGTTTTATATTTATACTTATTAATACTGTTCATACCGTCATATGTATATCAGGGTTCATACACTTTTTCACCAATGATTTTCAATGACTTTTCCATGACTTCTCCATGACCTTTACCTCATTTTCCATGACCAAAAAAATGACTCTTTCTCAGCGGTACCACTGAAAATGGTTTATTTGAACATGGAACAGGAAAATCAGGTCTGCATATGAAACATGTTGTGCCTATCTAAAACAAATCCAATAGGCTTACTAGCTTCTACAGGCTAAAGCAACTCAAATCTCTCACCAGCAAAACACCTCGACAGTTAAATGCCATTTTACGTTTCATTACTATACGATACAGTATTTATTATCATTAGAGTATTACTATTTCGGCGATTAGATAAAATATAAATGATATTTGATGCAACTTTAGTTACATTTCCATGACTTTTCCAAAACTTTGGGAAGAATATTGTTTTCCATAACTTTTCCAGGGCCTGGAATTAGCATTTTGAATTTCCATGACTTTTCCAGGTTTTTAATGACCGTAAGAACCCTGGTATATACTTTTAACTAGACATTTCACTGCAGTTTACTGCTTCTCTTGCACTTATGGTTAGATGCATTTCATTGTCCCAGTACTTGTGTGTAATCTGTGAAATGAGAATCAAGTTGGATTTAATCTAGGCAAAGAAATGTAAGGAATGTTATAGACACCCCAACATTAGAAACTGCTGAAAAACAATGTCATCAATGAAATAGGTTGTGTATATTGGCACTAACACTTTCAGATCCACCACAGGGTGTTCTACACACACTAGTCAAACCAGTTTGGAGCATAAAGCAGCTTGGTGTAGGAGACATCAATCTGCGTGTCTTCACCTATTGTGGTAACAGCCAGAGATCAGACTGCTGCAGGCACATTCTGCAGCAACGTTTCATACAGAACCTCCAACGTGCACATGTTCTGCTCAAGTCTCTACAGCATGTTTCACATCATTCATCAGAGTTCCTGCTTCTGTTGACAGGCCCCAACACCTCCTACACACTCAATGATCAACAACTCTCTCTCTGCTACACACAAACACATGCCTCTTTACAAATCATGGGGAGATGGACACTTGATCTTTGTCGAAATGTCCTGGTACTGGACATGTAAACGCAACATGATGCACATGACACCACAGCATTAGTATTGGATGCTGCTTTACACCCACTACTAAGACCATCAGTCATATTGTTAGAGTTTGCATTATTACTATTCTTATAAGTCTTATTTTTATAGTTGTGATTCTCTTTATTAGTATTTTTGTATTGTTGGCTCATTGCCATCCTCCTGGATCCATATTTTGTTTATGCTCAGATTATTATTTTGTGATCTAGATTGTCTATGTTGTGATAGAGACAGAGGGTGACTGAGGCAAATGTCTAATTGGTGATATTTGGTTATATTAATACCATTTGGATTTCATTGATTTGAGTACGATACTGTTTAGGCCAATCTTAGAAATGTTTGTCATTGAAAGTAAGCTGTGCAGCTAAGTGAAGGACAGGACCCTGATCAGACGGGCCTCTCGCCTGCTGTCTATTTCTCATCCTAAACTACGCACCAAGCTGCATTTATGTTATAACTATTGCTGGTCAACAATTACAATTTTTTTTTAAATCGCAATTAAACGCATTCTTGTGTGCAAAAATCCATAAGGAATTCAGTAGTAGAATCAAGTAGTGTATTGCACACTTTTATTTGAAAAGTACTGCTATATGAATAGTGCAATAACAAATAAGGTGCTTTTTAACAGCAGTATTCCATTAACACAGTAGCAGTTCAAATATTTATTGTAAATCTCAACTTCAACATGAATGAATGTAATCAAATAAAATATAAAACCCAAGCTATTTGCCACTGCCAGGGCTTTAACGTGTTATCTAGTTTTTCAAAGAAAAACAAGTTCCCCAAGTCCAGAGATAAGAACATTAAACTTCGCATTGGTTACAAATAACTCTATCGACTCCGCCGTCTGGAAGAGATGTCAAATGTCCATGTAAGAGTTCGGTACCTTCTCCATGTTTCTGTACCCGCCACTTGCTCTCCTCTGATCCAAAGATCAGCGCATCATTCCACTGAGCCACAGCCTCCCAGAGTTAATTGACCAATACATCAAATAAAACAATTTACAGTGTCCAGCAGTGTCTTAATGTCTGCATCTGGTTTTATTTGATTCGTCCTAAAAGACCTAACTGACTGGTCTATGGTTGCTTTTCAAACGCGCCTTCACTTGCCAGAACCAGGTCATTCCAATAAATCTGCTTCCTTCCGCTTACGGTTATACAATCATGTTTGTTTAACAGTTATGTGGTGACAGGCGCGTCTTTTCAGTTCACTTTTCCAAGCCTGAGCAGAGAAAGGATGAAAACAGGGGTCTGATTAGGGTCAGCAGCAGTGGCAGCATGCCCCCCTGCTGTGAAGCCCCTCTTGGTGGTAGTCACTGCAGTGTAGGATCCACAGCCAGTGACTCACACGTAATACAGTCAAAAGCCCAAAAAAGGGGTCGGACACGTTTGACTCACACTACAGAATTCAACAGTCTCGGGGGTTGTCAGAGCAGACACTCACACTGCCGTCACTGACACACTCACCTCTGCTTTATCTGACAGACATGCAGAGCACTGTCTACACTGAAAGAGCATTACTGACCCACTGCTGGCAATACAAAACCCTGCTTACTATCACTCAGTTAAAATGGCTCTAGGAACTGGTATCTTCTCCTTTATCAATGTGCACTCTTTCGCCACTTGACATTTGTTAAACAACCAATAAAAGTGAAGCAAACAGCTCTGAGACATCAGATGATGTAGGTCAGGGGTCTCCAACACGTCGATCGCGAACTGGGCAGCTTTACAGTAGCTCGCCGCTCGCTCGATTATCGATTATAGCGTAGTAACGTTGCTTCTTGATTTTTCAATACAATTACAATAAAGTTTTTTTATTTTAGATTTTTTTCTGTCACAAGAATATCAAATTGGTCGGTGACGCAGAGATCAAGGAACAGACATGACAGCGGCACAGCGACACCACACACAAAGCAGTTTGCCTTATCCACCAACACCATTGTAGGTGGACCATTCTTGCACATTTTGTGTGTTTGGTCCAAGCTGTGTCGATTACTTTGTATTTAAAGATGTTATCTGCAGACTGGTGTGCATGAGAGCTGGTCCATGTGTTTGTTGCATTCAAGTGCTCACCTTGTGTGTACGCAGCGTCGTCAGAGCCCATGCTGAGTCGGCGCGGCTCGCTCGGCCTCTCCCTGTGAGGCGACAGCGGGTCGGAGAGGTGGAGGGGGTCGGGCTCAACAAAGTGGTGGTCAGCGGGGAGGCTGAGGAGGTTGTTGGGCTCAAAAGTTGGGGACACGACTCCAGGGGACACAGCCGGGGGCTTATTGGGGGACACTGTGATTTTAAAAGTGTACTTGGTGTTGGGCTGAGTTACCACAACACGTGGGGAGGAAGCTGTGCCTCCCCCTCCTAAAGAGGCACGGGACTTAGGTGGATGGTGGTGGATGTAGGCAGGGCCCATGCTCACTTGGCCCCCCATGTTCCTGGCCCCTGAGGGTCCCTGCATGGGAGGGTTGGCTGAGATGTAGACTGTGGGAGGGTTCCTACCACCACCACTATCGTCGCTGGAGGCATTGGCAGAAATGTAAAACTTGGGCTGGGATCGAGCGCCGGCAGGGGCCAGGGCCGCCTCCTCACAGGCCGCTGGGGCCGCAGCAGGAGGGCTGGCAGAGATGTAAACAGTGGGCTGGCTGCGGCTCAGACCGGGGCCTCCGATGGACAGAGGGGTGCTGGGGACCGTAGCCACCCCAGTTGAAGTGGATGAAGAGGAAGGGCAGGAGGAAGAGGCGGAGGAGGAGCGGGCCCCGCTGCTCGTCCGCAGCACGGCTGTCGTGGTCGTGGAGTTGTTTCTCTGAGGGGATTCTAGTTTGATCTCTATCTGATTCTTTCTGGGGCCGGTGGAGATGTTCTGGATGTTGTACTGACTGATGGTCGACAGGGAGGTGGGCATGACGGAGGAGGAGGAGGAAGAGCACGAGGAGACACCAGAGGAAGAGGCCTGGCTTGCAGTGGGAAGAATGCAGGGGGCCTGGGGGTTTGTGGGGGAGCTGATTGGCATGTAGACATGAGAGGTCTGGTGCTGTGAGGTATGCGAGGACAAGGCGTGCTGAGGGCCAGACCAGGTGCCCGACAGGGAGGAGGGGTGTGAGATCTGGTAGATCTGCTGCTGGGGCTGGGAGGTGGGGCTGTACTGGGCCCGGCCCCCCTGCGGCTGGTTCTGCCGGCTCGCAGCAGACTGGCTCACATAGGGCCGGATATAGATGGAGTTACCCTGTGGACTGTTGAGGCCCGACGGGGGCCCGCCGTGTATGTGCAGAGAAGTGGGGGTGTTGCGTCCTGTCTGAATATGGGGGGCTAGCGTCACGGTGATGGGGTTGAAGCGTGGGGTCTGCTGGACACCCATAGTTGTTCCTTTGACACCCAGAGGGTAGAGTCCTAGGTGTTGGGGGGGCTGCGGTTTACGGGTTGGCTCCATCACACCAAACACATTGATGCTGGAGGGCACCTGCACTGGGGCTGACTGTGGCTCCTGCTGAAAGAAGTCACTGTTGGGGGCCTGTCCTGTCTGAAGGGGCCCGTCACTCAGGCTGTGGGCCAGAGTCCGACTGCCGTTCATTCTCAGGCTGTCCCGAACCGGGGCCAAATGCACATTCTGAGACTGCAGGCCCAGGTTCAACTGGGTCATATGATTACGAAGCCTAATGAAGCCGGGGTCGTCGGAGAAGCTGAGGTTTCCTTCTTCACTGTACAGGTAGCCCGGACTGACCTGGGACAAGTATTCACAGCAGGCGTCCAGGTTGTTGTTGTTCTGAAGGAAAAAGAGAGAGAATGAGCTTATATCAGTGTCATTCACACCCGTTTTTAATCAACAAAGAAGTGTGATAAAGATTTGTACAGAGCGGGATATTGTTGAAAAATGTCTATTTACAATGAAATGGTTTAACTTGCTGCTTGTCACGAATGGACCAAATCTGCTGGCACCAATAAGTATCTACAATGAGCGAAAGATCATCAGTCTGGTTTTACTTTCTAGGAATCATCTTTACTGGAGTCAGATGGGTGAACTTGCCCACCTGCAGAACACACTGGGAGACAACACCCTCTGGGACTTCAGGGAACTTCTGGCGCAGGTCATGCAAAACCTGAATATCAATCTGGTGGCTTCCCTGGGCCATTCGTATGTTGCCAGGTCAGGACTGCTTGTTCTGTTAAGCGCACTGGGGCGTCAGGCGTGGCAGCAAGGTGCCTTCATCTTGAACATCTTCTAAATTGTGACAAGAAAAGATAAACATTTGATGAACTTTTCTCCATAAACAAAAAACACACCAACAATCAAATATTTCTATATACATACTCAGGAAAAAAAAGTCTTCACAGAGTCATGCGATCTGAGGACATCTTTGTTTTGTTATTATTTCATCAAAAAGTGACAGGGACGGGGTCAATGTGGTTTATTGCAACTTCGCTCTACAATACATCAATCGGACATTTGAGTTGTCAAATGAATTATGCCTGGGTGATTTCAAAACATGTTACATTAATGCTAGATAAGAATAGATGGCATATATTTCAGAAGCCCTCCTCCTCTCAGAGCTCCTAAAAAAGGAGCAGCAGGAGGAAACTGCCTCTGACTGACTACTGAGAAAACCAGCATTTCTTACTGATCTTAACATCCATATTCACTTTTTAAGGACACAAGGGGAGCCACAGAAGTCGGATCTGGAGAAATGATAAGCTCTGCACTGCAGCACGGAAACAGAGCTGCAGGGCTTTACACTGTGCTCGACTTCTGAACGTTTCAGACAAAGAGTCCAGTGTGGGGTCAACTAGTTAACACTAGGGCTGAACGATTCATCGATTTTAAATCGAAATCACGATTTGAAATGATGCAATTATCAAATCGCAAAGCCTGCGATTTTGTTTTGTTTTTAATTGTTTGTTCTTCTTGTGTGTCAGTCATCCACACCGATCAGAAGTGCTGTGCTCCACATGTACCAGTCATTGTTAACCAATCAAAAGTGGCCCATGATAGAAGGTGATAGACAGATTGATCCAGTCACCTGCCAAGTATTTTTGAAATACTTTTCCAAATGGCTTCCAATGGAGCGTTCCTAGATGGTTTGGTGAAACAAACCACCTTAGTCAGGTTAGTAATGCTCCATCACATGTTTTACATCTATTACAGGGTGAGTCTTAAACTGAAGCTTGACTTTAAAGCAACCCAACGGAAGTTTCATGTAAGTTTAGTTCTTTCACTCGTAGCTCTGGCTGCGGGGGTGCTAGAGACGGGAGCACGTTGATAGGACCTTCCTAGCCGGAGATATGGCCGCATTTTACAATAAACCTCCGTTGGGTCGCTTAAAAACAAATATCGCAAATTGAATTGCAATTGCTGTCAGAAAAATCGCAATTAGATTATTTCCCCAAATCATGCAGCCCTAGTTACCACTGGTTCTAACCCCAACCTGGGTTTAGTGTTACACTGACCAATCTATTTAGACCAGAAACAGTAAATAATATCAGTCTCATAATCATCCCAAAAAAATAAATGGACAATTATTGGAGAGTGTTATATAGTCACCAAAATGCTGTTGGAAAGGTTATTTAAGATAGCTGAGAAGACATTATTTAACAGATGTCTATAGAAATGTAAATCACATGCACCTAATAAACTGGCACGTTGGCTAACGGATCCACATGCTATGCATGAGATATATGCTAACCTGGTATCTGGCCAAGGCAACCACACTATTTTACTAGTAGCCACTGTGCAACTTCCTTACGACGGGCAAAGCTTGGCATGCCTTGCAGTTTTGTGTCATTCACTCATTAGATCAGGGATTCCATCTGGTACACACTCACTGGTATGAAGCTCACTTCATAAACATTTAGCCTGCTATACTAAAAGGGGCTAGAAATACAGACATACATGACGTGGAAAAGTCAAGACAACTTGAAGGTTTAAGTGCAGTGTTATCCCACACTTTTCTTTTAACCGCACTCTTTGGAAACATCTTCCTGTGGGAGGTTCAGATATGCCATTCAAAACATTGTGACATACTGCACAAAGCACAACCTGTTCTACTCCATTGAGATCCATGCAGTATGGAAGAAGCCACTGGACAACAAAGTAAATGCATCATAGAAAGGGAATGTTTAGGCTATTAGGAAATGGCTTAAATGTACAGACACTTGAATACACTTCTGAAAGGAAAGGTTCAAGAACACTGTCAAGCATTTATCTGAGCAGCTGTGCTGCCATCTTAACCAAGCTCTAAGGATGTGGACTGCCATAGCTGAGAAGTGGTCAATTGGTTTTGTAAAACATCTCTGGACAGTGCCGGACAACAGAAGGAGGATTGATTTGGCATTACTGTCAATAATAGGACACCAGCTGCAAGGAGCAGCCCCAACTCAGAGAGAGCGACCTGAGCTGCCTAGACAGATATGTATCAATCTAAATGACCCACAGTGGGCCGTAAGAAGGGAAGACCATGCTTAATTCAGACACTGACCGTAGAAGAAAAATATTTGTGTACTTTCTGAGATACTATCAACTTAAGGAACATGTGAGAGAGACAACTCATCAACATCTGGATCTAGATCGGACATTGTTTTTTTGTCTTTTGCAATCAAAGGAAATTGAACATTTCGCAAAATCCTCCAGCAGATGAAGTCCACAGAAAGTCAGGGCGTTTAAAGTATTCCACTTCACACTGTACCTTTAGAGCCTAGTACATGAGGAGTTTACAGCTACCTGTTTAAATGACAGACTAGGGTGCATCAGTGCACAGAGCCAGAGAACAGTCCACCACTGAGATGTGCTCAGGAGGCAGGGCAGCTCAACCATTGTGGGAAAGGAAATACATTGGCAGCTGACCCAGTTATAAGTCAACAGTGTGGTTAGATTGTTTCCTGGCTTCAAAAACAAAAGGGTCCACACCTCTTCTCTGTACGTTATTATAGACCCATGTGTATGGGGTGGCTCCAAGTGGGGTAGATGAATACCTGCTGTCCCTAGAGGAGCTGGTGGAACAGAGCCTGAGGCAGCAGAGATAGACACAAAGCTGCTATTGCTGAGGCTGTTACTCACCGTGCCAAAGCATTGACCCACAGTCCCACTCTCATTTCTGGAGTAGCAGCGTGCCATGCTCCATCAATAGGCTCATTCACTCTGCCAGAGGGAACCAGCCTAAAAACGTCCAGATTAATTAAAGCCTAAATAAAATGTACAAATAATCAACAGGAGACTTTGGCCGACTTAAGAATCCAACACCTGGAGCCGTGGCCACTGTGATAGCCAACACAGGCTAGATGCTGTAAACAAAGGGGCTACATATTACTGGAAAATAAAAAACATGTCCTGCCATACTCTCTTCAGCGTGCAAGACTGGGAGTTCCTATCGTGGTTGTTTAGGACAGCACTGATCTTGTTTAACCAAATCTTCCAACCAATTTGTGGAAATGGCCCTTGAACTATGATAAACATTGAATACAGTGGAAACTTCAATCAGAACATTGTCTGCAGCTTTCATGAGCAGCCCAGCTACATTACATCAAAGGTCTTACTGCTGCGTCTTGCAATATTTCAACAAGTAAGGGACTAATTGGCAGTGTTTGCTGATGATGGCTGATCATCAGCCCCCCCCCCCCGTCTTACAAAGTAGCTGGACATGCTTGTGTTTGTTACTATTGCATATACACTGACAATCATGTTCATATGCATGCCTTACTGCAGAAAGGCATACAACCCAAGTAACTTCTGAAAGCTAAAAAGGACAAATATCCAAATGTTAAAAGAAAATTATAAACGTTCAAGTTGTCTTGACTTTTCCACGTCATGTATGTCTGTATTTCTAGCCCCTTTTAGTATAGCAGGCTAAATGTTTATGAAGTGAGCTTCATACCAGTGAGTGTGTACCAGATGGAATCCCTGATCTAATGAGTGAATGACACAAAACTGCAAGGCACTTTGCCCGTCGTAAGGAAGTTGCACAGTGGCTACTAGTAAAATAGTGTGGTTGCCTTGGCCAGATACCAGGTTAGCATATATCTCATGCATAGCATGTGGATCCGTTAGCCAACGTGCCAGTTTATTAGAACTGATGTTACTTTTGATGTTATTTTAATTAGACATCTGTTAGATAATAGCCTCTCAGCTAGATTAAAAATAACCTAGCCAACAGCATCTTGGTGACTATATAACACTCTCCAGTACTTTTCTGTTACTTTTTTTGAATGATTATGAGACTGAGATTATTTACTTAATTTTGGAACTAAATAGATTGGTCAGTGTAACATTAAACCCAGGTTGTAGAATCAGTGTTAACTACCACACTGAATTTCTACACACTTGTCCTTATTATTAACAAAACACTTTGGAGATGTTGTAAAGGAAAAAACAACAAACAAATGAAAAAGATTATATGTTGATGGATCAGATTTGTTGGACTTCATCATATTTCATGATTGACTGTCGACCGGTTTCAGCGGTGCAGATTGCCTGGTGGAAAAAGCAGTCCCACAGAGGGAGAGAGACTGTATCTCATGCCATTCCTTCATTTTCTGTGAACCACTTGTATACAGTTGTTAAAGAATGCAGTTTGATTCATAGATAAGTTCATTTACATTTCATTCTCATTAATGACTGAGGAACCTTAGGCCATTGCCTCCTTGCCTCCCACTGAGTGAACTATCGCACAGGCTTTGCATGGACACTTTACAAAGGGAAGGCTAATCTTAACAGAAGAGCTTTTCAAGTCATCACAAAAGCTGTGACAGTCTGAATCAAACAGATTTCCTACCACATTAATGTCACGAGTCTAACTAAGATAAACTAGGAGGAATCGTAACTGTGTCATAAATAGAAACATGAAACCGATTGTCTTAAAACATTCTGAAACTTAAAAAGGTCAGGCAGAGCAGAAATTGTTATCAGGTTATGTGAAAAATTCTCCACGTTACTTAGAGAAGTACATTTGGGACAAAAACATTTTCCTTTAACAATTTAAATTCACTAAAATGAGGACAACACATTTGGTAGGGTTGCACATGAAGCAGTTGTTTTGTTCAGGGTCTATAGAACAGGAACAAGCCACACTACACAGAACCCAATTTGCACTCAATTGTGCCATGAAGCCAAGCCTCACATACCCCTTTTCCACAAGTTTAGTTTAGTTCCATGCTGGCCCCAGAGCCACATCACGATGTCTTTGCAACAATAGGTGCATCCCACCAATAGCATCCACGTTTCCCCTTACTTTT